TTTGATTCAACCTAAATTGGGGGTATAAGTATTTTGGCAGCGTGATTGGATGTTTGCTCATTTATATACTGATGAATTATACTTCTACATTCTTGCAGATTATCCTCGTTGATCAATGTGAACGTTTTGTTTTCAAGCCCATGCTATATGAGCTTCTTTCTGGGGGTATGTAATTGGTTTCGCTTATGAATATTCTTTTGTAGTTTTTGTTGCTGAAGACTGAAGTCTATTCTTTTCGTGGTTATTGCTATTTTGTAATTGCAGAAGTGGACATGTGGGAAATCGCACCATTATTCTCTGAATTGCTTGCAAACACAAACGTGCAGTTCTTTAGAGACAGGGTCAAATGCCTATATCCACGTGACCATTTACTTAAAAATATGCCTACAACATCTGGCCCTGGAGGAATTGTTCATCTTGAAAGTGGCCTTGCTATTGAATATGATTGGTATATTTTTTAGAATCGTGCCAAGATTAGCTTAGTTCAACTTTTTTGGAAGCCTTAGACAATAAAAAATATAATGATACCCCAAAAATATAACTCCGTAATATTTAACTGTTTGACTTAATTCAACATCCAGTCTTAATTACGGGTGATTTTCACTTCCATGTTTCTTACAATAGTTGTGGGTCGACCATTAATTGTAAGGACCCCAAGTGAATTTGCATTATAATTAATGCCAAACATAGCATTGGTACTGATATTATTGAGACACTATTTGAGCACTTGAAAGTAAAGCTCTCTTTAATTAGTTCTTACAAGAATGCCATTTTCATAATTGCTGGGTAAAAGTATTGGATAAGTTTGTTGGCCAATCATGATTGGTTGATATGCACTAAGCAAGCTGCGGTGACATCACAGGCCTATGAACTTTACTAACCCCGGACAAGTGCCTTCGATTGCAATGCCTGGATTTTTTCAAAATTAAATAAATTCTCTTAGAATTGATGGGATTACCATTTTATCATTTGGGCTTTTTATTACATGATGAGGTGATGATTGATGATACGTGAAGCAGATATTATTTTGATGAGCTAACTCTTCGGCATGTGTAGATATGAAGCTCCATGTTGTATATGTGGTTCTTTTGCAATAGATGGCAATCATAGTAAACTATTCCTTGTCATTGAGCATCCCCCCACATACTTATGACATATCATTTCAAACATTTCTTTAGAAGTATTCCTTCCTTGAATGGTTCTGAATCTGAGCCCTTTGTTTATTTTACTCTCAAAAGTTGTCACTGATTTACATATTTTACATTTGGGCAGCCAGGTTGGTTCTTGCGCTAGGAGCTGAAGCCAAACTTGATGTTACACCAGGAGCTTCCAAATATGCATTGCCATTTTATACCCTAAAGGATGCTCTTGTCAGTATGGGGATAATGCTTAGAGATTCTTATATGCTCTAATAAATTACATTTTTAGCTTTTATGTGCCCCTCTTTGAAATTATATTTGTATTAGCAGAAGGTTGATGAAAAGCTAAGAGATCTTGAGCGTAAGAACTTTTGCAAGGATTCTCCTATACGCGTGACAGTGGTAGGATGCGGTTATGGTGGAGTTGAATTAGCTGCTACTATATCTGAAAGATTGGGAGATAGGGGAATTGTACAAGCCATTAATGCAGAAGAGACAATATTGCCGAATGCTCCAGAGGGAAATAGGGAGACTGCATTAAGGGTAAAGAGCCTCATATGCGAAGATCATTCATGCTTTTGGCAATCTAGATTATGTGCACATTCTGGTCTACATAAAATTTTCTAATTAAACTTCTGTAAAAAAGTTCAGGTTCTCTCATCCCGGAAGGTTGAACTATTACTTGGTTACGTTGTCAGTTGCATAAGAAAAGAGGTCAAGGGTGAAATAGATGATGATGATCCTGCAAATATGGTATCTGTTCATAATGCTGCAACAGCTCATTGTCCTGAAAGGATATTCCTGGAGTTACAGCCCTCTGGTGGAAGAGATTTGCAGGGTCAAATTGTGGAATCGGATCTAGTTTTATGGACTGTTGGGTCAAAGCCTCTACTTCCGGAGTTAGATCTTGACGATAATTCATATGAACTTCCTCGCAATGCTCGAGGACATGCAGAAACAGATGAAACTCTCCGAGTTAAGGGTCACCCGCGCACATTTGCAGTCGGTGATGCTTCTGCATTGAGAGACAAAAATGGAAATTTTCTTCCAGCCACTGCACAGGTGATTGACAAAAATGTTATTTTGACAACTGAAATCACAAAGAATATTCACGAAAACATTAACCTCAACTGAAGCTGTGTCCCTCAAGGACATAAATTAGTCTAACATTCATTTTGAACTATGCATATTTCATTTTATCACTTGCTACCTTTTTCTTCACAGGTTGCTCTCCAGCAATCTGATTTTGCAGGTTGGAACTTGTGGGCTGCTATCAATGGCCGGGCATTGTTGCCATTTAGGTAGTGTTTTGAATATGTTCTTGTTTATTTATTACCGTTTTGCTAATCATTTCCTTAGCGCATGGGTCGAGCATTCCAAAACTGGAAGATTATCATTTAATGGACGTATTAAATTATCACATCAAATGGATTTCATCATGTCTATTTAATGATACATTTCCCTATTTGGAATGCTTAACCAATGCCCTAAGGGCAATAATGGTTAGCAAAATGGTAATAAATAACATTATTTTGACATCAATGATAATTCTGTTTCATGTTCTTCTGTTTTTGAGTAGTTCATGTTAAAACGAAATGGCTTGATTTAACTTTTGTAATGGAAATACATATCATAATCAGTATCACCATTTTACAATGTAATGGCTTGATTTAAAACTAGTAAACACTACAATTTCATGCAAAAAGGCATCCCAACAGTGTTTTACGCCGGATGCCCTTTCCTGTTTTATATGAAGGAATAATGAGATGAAATTGTAAATTCGTCATCATCACATGTTAATTTCACACGCATGGAAAATAGCTTCAGGCAACAATGACTTTCTGTTGTAATGACCATTACATGATTGATATTGTAAAATCAATACATGCAAATTGTGAAACATGATTGTGTAATGGAAAAATACCTGGAGAGTATTACAAATGTTTGGGAAGAAAGTACTGAGACTGGCTTCTATGATTGATACAGGTTTCAAAATTTGGGCGAAATGATGACTCTTGGCAAGTATGATGGTGCTGTTTCCCCGAGCTTCGTAAATGGGGTTACCTTGGATGGTCTTGTAGCTCACACTGGTACCCTCCTCTACCCCCTCCCTTATTTCATTGAACTCCCATTTCTGTTAACACCTTCATTCTCATTGCAGCGAGAAAAATAGCATACTTGATCAGATTGCCAACGAATGAGCACCGTGCAAAAGTTGGGTTCAGTTGGCTAGCCAAATCAACTCTGGATTCGTTGCAGAACATGCTTAGCAAAGGGCTTTCATGAAATTAGATTATGGGGGACAAATTTTGTCTCTTTTATGGTATAACGGGCACATGATGGGACTCACTGCCTTTTGTTTGATCAAATATACAGAACAAGATATTTAATGGGGAAATGCATTAATTCATATACCTTATTATTGTAAATAATGTATATTTTTATTATTTCGCTTTTGTTTTTGTATGATTGACAAGAATGATGGATTGGGATTTTGTTTATTTAGATTAGTACTTCATAGGCATATTGGTTAAGATTTACGCATGATTAACCATGCTCCGTGTTCTTATCACATGCAATTAAGCACTCTTTTATGTCTATGTTTAATGCTAAGTGAAGATGAAGTTAAAGATTATACTTTGATAAAGATAGAGATGCTCTTTAGAGCACGTTGCAAAAGTCTTCATCACTATAATGAAACCTTTTCCAAACATTGATCCAGCGTTCATCGCTTGCAATAGGCTGGTACTTGATAAACTTCAATATGATTGTATAGTATTGGCATGGATTATAGAGACATGATGGGATTTAGGCTGGTACTTGATAAACTTCAATATGATTGTATAGTATTGGCATGGATTATAGAGACATGATGGGATATTTAAACGATGAAAAACGAGCAGCATATGAGGCAATAATAAGATCTTTAGAGAAGGGGTTGGCATAGATAAGACTTTTGTTTGGAAAATTTTATCCATCGCACTGCGTTCAAAAGGAGAAATTGTGTTAAATGTTGATTCTAGTGAATTGCATCACTACTCCTTGGGGGAAGCACTATGCACCCCCGATTTTGGATTCTCATTAAGTCCACATGAAATTTCCACTTATACATCAAACATGGGACATCATAAGCAGAGTTACACCTTCGAACAAAATTGATTATTTGGGATGAGGCCCTAATGACTCATAAATTTTACTTCGCGGCACTTGGTAGAACTTTGTGGGATATAATGTCAGTGCATGATCCAAAAAACGTTGAGATAGAATTTAGAGGAAAAACAATAGTTTAAGGAGGGGACTTCTACCAAATATTATATATCATACCTAAACATTGTTAATGCAACATTTTATTCTTCTTCATAGATCTAGCAGTTTTGTACTATGTTACATCGCATTAAGAACATGTGTGTGCAGCACATGGCTCATGACAATAGCTATAAAAGAATGGTGAGATTTGCTAATTGGATAACAAGTATTGGAGATGGACTTAGTAAAGAAGAAAAATTAAATGACGGATGCTATGATGTATGTATTCCTGCATATATGATCTTGCGAAGCACAAGTGATCCCGTTGTAGCAATTATTCACGCCACCAACCCCAATTTCGATAATATTGCTAAAGACCCAAGCTACTTTCAAGAACGGGAAAATCTTACTCGACATAAAATGTAGTTAATGTCATAAATGATTACATGACATCCATAAATATTGTTAGAGAAGCAAAGACTTGCCGTAGCTGAGATAGTGTTTGCAAATCCCTTAATATAATATTTGAGAGTTGATAGCTTAGAATTTTGACACGTGGCAGTTTTTTAGAGATGTATTTTTTTGACACATAAGCCTACACGCGTCCTGTTCTACGACAAACTTGCATAAGCCTTCCCGTCCGATTCTCTTCCCGGATGCGCTGCCCTAATCTTCTTCACCAAAAATTCGCTGATTTTTCGCGATAATCTTCGCCGAAGGAAAGGAAATCTGCACCATAGACAAAATCCGCTGATTCTTTGCGGATTTTTCGCGTCAGTTTTGAGATCTAGAACGTCAAGATCCACTTATTCTTTGGCTTCAATTCTAGAATCAGGTTTGTTTCCAATATTCAATTGGTAATTTCATGGATTTCGATTCTCTATTCTCAATTTCCCTGATTGCGATCGGAAGGACGTGAAGGAGATTTCCCTGGCTGAAAGTGGCGGCCATGGCTAACTTCGGCTGGGCTTGGGTTATAATCCACTCATTCTGAGATTTCCCAATGGTTAATATTTGTTGATGGATAGAGAACAAGATAAACAGGCAGGTGACATTCTCAAAGAGGAGAAGTGGTTTGGTCAAGAAAGCCCATGAAATCTCTGTTCTTTGTGATCGATGCAGAGGTTGCCTTGATTGTCTTCTCCCATAAAGGAAGGCTCTTTGATTACTCCACTGATTCTTGGTATTTTATTTTCTTTCTTTCTTTCTTTTTCTTTAATTAATCATAATATTATATGATATGATATGATGAGTTTTCAAGATTGAATTCTATCTTTCACAGATGAGCTTTGCTTGCTTGCTAGGGTTTGTTTCTTTTTTATTTAATTTCCAATTTCATATATGACACATCTCTTCAATTCTTTACACATATTTGATTCGTTATTCTTTCTTTCTTGTGCATTTCTACATATATAATTCCATCAGATTTATTAGCTGGCTGGAGATTCAATTCGCTACTTTCGTGTAAGAAGAATAAAGACCCTACTTTTTTTGTGTGTGTGATTTTTGTGTGGTTATTTAATGTGTTAAGTTGTTGTTATTGTTGAGTTTGGTTTTATATTGAATTGGGACAGTCTGATTATCTTTTTATGTGGGTAAAACTATGTTCCTTTTTTAGGGATCAGATAAGTTTAAATGGAGTATGTGATTTTCTTCTTTTAATGTTCTAAAAAGCTCTCTTATGGACAGAACCCTAGCGCCAGAATGAAGACAAAGCATAGAGTGGGTAACAATGCAATGATGATGAATAGCAGCGCCAGACTAGGGCTTTACCTAAAAGCATCGACGACGGCGCATCACAACCGCACAGAGATTCAGAGACGAGGGTATTTTATTTTTCTCTTGATTTAATTTTTAAAATTTGGACTTCTCAAACAACCAATGAAATAGATATCATTTTTTCATATTTAATTTTACTATTTTTACATTTTCTATAACATGATATTTTTGAGTCCATGGGCTGTTTGTTGATGGGCTGAATTTCAGTGGTGGACATTAGAGAAATAAGTGACCTGGCACATAAGCACAATGTATATGTTAGCAGTGGTGGTTGTATTGAGAATCTTCTTCGTAAAGGTCCTTCAAATCTTAATGAATAGATTGAGGTACACGGGGAAGATGGATATTTTTTCCTTCTTCAAATGCACACTACTATATTATTAACACTTGTGAGTTATTTGTAATGAAGTTTTGCTAGGAATGCAAGCAATTAGGCTTTGATTCCATTGAGATTGACTTTACTTCCTTAGGTCTTATGGAGGAAACTCTTGTGAGATATGTGCGGTTGATCAAGAGTGGGGAACTTGTGAGATATGTGAGATTGACTTTACTTCCTTTGTTTTGTGCTAATAAGTTTTCCGATTTTGAAACTTTTATGGTATTTCAAAGAAATGTTATTCTTCATTTAGATAATTGATGTTATTAGTGGTGGAAAATGTTGACACAGAATCATGTGATTTTAGAAACAATGATGCTGAATATTCTTTATATTCAAACAATATCAAGGTTAATGGATTCGCTTCTATAGATCTACCTATTTGTTTACCAAAATATTTGAATTCATATGTAATATCTTGATGCGTTATATCACGACCAAGATAGGTCTCTATTCTGTTTATTTAATTTTAGTTTTAATAACACACCATGGTATTTTAAAGATTTGTTGCATTGCTTGGCAACAATGCTAAACGTGGCAGTGACCATATCTTCAAGATGGCTTAGGAAGATGGAGATTGAAACACTTAACAACACCTACTAGGGAGTTTTCCCTGAATATTGATGAGGTTGGGGTTTATGTGGGGCAATTTGAACAAGAGATTATGTCTAGCAGACTTGGTATATAAACATGAGTATTACCATTGATTGCTTTCTATTTGAGTTAATTCATTGATTGTTGAATTCTTAGATTTGCAAATTGCATGTTTTTATACGCATGTTGTTATATGCTCCCACATTTTTTTGTATATGCTAAGTTATAAATTCCCCGCTTGGCAATATTTTAGTAGTTTGAGGCTAGAAGAGGACATTTAATTTACAGTACTTAGACCTCTCTCGCTTTGTATCTTATCTAAAATTTAATTATATCTTTAGTTTTTTATTTATTTTTTGATATGAGATTTTATACGATTTAATCAAAATTTTACACCATAAACAATTAGCGGTATTCTTTTATTATTTCGAGTAAATTTTAGAGGTAATATACAAGCTTATTTTTTATGTTGAAAGTAGCTTCAAATTTTAGATAAGATACTTTGGCTCTGATTTTTGCATTTAACATAATTGTAGATGGGATGATTCAGATCATTATACACAATAGAAGAAAATGGATAGGAAGAGGCCGGAGAAGATAAAGGACATGCTGAGATAGCTTTCGTTGTTATTGTTTTTGGTTCATCACCAAGTAAAATGTTTTGCTCTCGAGTACTGTTGTGATGAATGACCTTCAAACAACAGTAAGCTTGCTTCCAGAAGTCCTTTATTTACCAAAATTCAAAAGACTAACGCTCACAGTGAAGGTATATATCATCTCTATTTCTACTTTTTTAGGAGATTATTGCATAATGAGTTCAATGATTTAAATCTCTGTTTCTTTAATCTTCAAGCACATATAGTGTTACTTGATAACCACATTATGTCGTCATCTACGGATAAAATGAGCGGATTTTAGCAAGTGTTCTCTAAGGTTTTTTTGGGTGAAGTTTGATATTGATGCAACTGTTCAAAAGTCTTATTCTCCTAGGTTTTTTTGTAGAGTTTCAGATTTTTACATGTATACGCCAAATGTTAGTACTTACCACTTTATCAATAAATGGTACATTGCAGCATATTGCATTATAGTTTTTATATCTTACGTTCCTTCATAAGTTTCACCGTAATTCAGTTTAAGAAAAATAGAATGCGGGTATGCTCTAATTCTTTATTTAATACTTCATTTACATTCCCCCCTCTAATTTTTTTAATTTACTATCACAAAAATCGATTTGGTTAGAGTAGACTTTTCCATGATCTTTAGATGTTGGTTTAATGAATTTTAATCCAAACCACAATGTAGGCTTTGATGTGTGTAATGTGATACTTTTTTCTCTCCTTTATAATTATTATTCTATTTGATTCATAATTGCCTTTTAATTGCTTATGAGATCAATGTCTTGCTCCCATCTATAATAGTTTCCCATTTGTATATTCCTTTATTTTTGGATTATCTTCCCCATTAGAATTGAAGAATCTATATTGATTACCTTTCCCCTATACTTCATATAGTAGAATTATTGGTTTTTATCCTGCTCCACTTGAGCATAATAGTTAGCTAAAGGCCTGTCTTTCATAAGTGTGGAGTATACGTATAAATTTTGAAGTATAATTTTTACAGAAACTATAATGTGGTATTTACGTATAATAATTGTTTGCTATGTGATATATCTTTTCTTTATTTATTTAGTTTTTAGGATTACAAATTTTGTATGGTTCTTATTTTTAGAAGTGTATTTGTTTTAATGGAAAATGTAATATTTCTACTCACCTATGACTAGAATTGAAGAATAGAGCCTTTATGTATGTAAAATATAAAAAACCAATATTCTAACTAAGTCTAATAAAACCCTATTTTTGTTTTAGTTTTTAAACGTTTCCCTATCAAAGTAAATTTTGAATTCTATACTCATGTCTTTACAAATTCTTCACACACCAAATATTTTGTATCCATAAAATTATAGCACTATGTTCATATTTCTCATGAACTTCTAATAAGTATTGATGCTAGATCGATGTCTAAAGGGTCATTTTACTTGCTTCCTTCACTATAGTATCAATTGTGGTGCGTATTGCTTTCTAACAAGCTTAGCAAAGAGCTTTATTATCATTATGGTGGCTCATACTTGCCAAGCTCATTGGTATGTATTATTCATTTTGGTTAATATATTATATTTCACCACAAGTTGATTATTTATCCTTATAATTATTGTAATTGGATATTTTTTATTATGATTAGATCTTAAAAGCTCTCGCAACTCAAAAGTGTATTGAAAGCATGTTCATGGAGTGCTTGGACTTACAAGGAGAGACTATTTTGAAATATGCTCTAAGTTGTAACCTTTTTAATACCCTGACAAAAATGAAAGATACTATCTGATAAACGTGTATAGGCAATTTCCAATGCAACACTTTATAAGTTTGGCAAGCGAGAATAAATAGGTATTATTATTATTATTATTACTATTATTATTTTAATTATTATTACAATTTACTATGGAGTGTTACACGGTTGCATACACATTAACAACTTAACTCAATTGAATCCTACAAAAGTAAGATCTAGGGTGGGTGTGGGTAGACTCATGATCTAGATGAGCATGAATAGTTGATTGACTAATTATTATTTTACCATTTAAAGGAAGTGTTGACAATTTAAATATTAACTTTACTTTATTCCATTTTGTTATTAAATTCGATTGCAAATGGAACTAAAAGAATCTTTTTATTGCTTGTGGATAACTAATAGACTAAATCAAAGGAATATTTGGAACTTTCTTTGCTTCTTACTTTCCATGAAATTGTAGGCACTAAATGCAACAATGAGCTAACAAAAAATGAAAAAACATCTCCAATTTTTACCGGGCTAAAGATCTATGCATCTTAACTTCCTAGACCTAAATGAAGTTGGGGTTGCACAACACTAAGCTTGATACTCTTTTAGTCATATTACTCCAATATTATTATTGTTACACACCTCATAGCCCTCACATGAACTTTTCTCAAATACAATGCTTTCAGAGTAATTTGAATTCCTTTTTGACTCTCCTACAACCAACCCTTTCATTATTTTTTTTCCTATCTTCTAGAGTTGGTTGATTTTTTTTCTACTCAAGTTTTAGGCGGCCTTACAATTGTTAATTTGTTAAGAATTTAGAAATATACAAATTGGTTAAGAATGCAAAGAAATTTCACATAAGTGATATATTTATTTCTTTTCCCATTTTGTTTATTTTTTATTTAAACACAAATTAACAATATTGAAATTTTAAAACATTATTTAAAAGATTTAGAAAATAAATTAAAAAACCCCCTTTAAGAAAAGAAAAAAAGAGAAGAAAAAGTGAGATAAAAAGGGAAAAACCAAAAAATAATAGGAAAATAGAAATGAGCTCTTTTACCCCATGTGGTTTAAAAGACACACTAATGCTCCTTCACCGCAAAACGATAAAAAAAATAACCGGAAAATAATTAGAGGGAGTGTGTATGCAATATTTTGAAACCATGTAGATTTTATAAATAATTTTTGAACACAGATAGGACATTAGTACTCATTTCTCAAAATAATAGACTTGACATGATTTGAGATACAAGCTTCCATATAATTGACATGTCAAAACTTTATTCTTCAGGTATTATTTATTCTACTTTAAACTTGATGTATATCATATATTGTTAAAAATTCGTGCTTGAAATATCTTTTTTTTATCCTTTAAATTGAAAAAACATTTTTTGAAACGAAAAAAATTTCGTTCGATCCCATGCGTGGCACGGGTCAAATGCTAGTCTGATTCAAATGTCAATGTAATATCTTACTTGCATTCGTTAGAATTCTTAAATAATTCTAGTGTGCCCAATCATTAACTAAAACTAAAGGTTGAGACACCTATTATGTTGTTTAGAAATATTGATAAGTCTATGGGTTTGTGCAAAATATTGAATTCACATTTCTATATACTTAATTAGGTGGCATATTATTAAGCATCAAAAAAATATAAAATTTATTTATATGTGAAAATATTCTGTTTATTAGTTGTCAAATTTTAAATAAATAATCAGATTAATCTCATGTAAACTTATGAACAAATATAAAATTTATTTTTATGTGAGGGGAGTAATTTATTTATTATTCTAAAATATTGTTATAAATGAGATAAGTTTATAATTTAGATATATTACGTGTTTAAAAAAGCTGGATAAATATAGCATATGTTAGTTTCTTTGTGATCTAAGTATCATTTTTAAATATAAAGAAGTAATAGTTCTTTATTTTTCTTAAATATTTATGTGGATTATACTAATATTCTTCTAGTCTAAATATATACAATTTGATAAAGTAGTATAATAAAAGGTTTATTATATATATATATATATCTGTGTGTGTGTGTCTTTTAAAAATATGTTTAATTAAATATATACTTAGGGATCTAAGTATCATTTTTATATATAAAGAATTAATAATTCTTTATCAAATACTATTTGTATTTTATAAATATATTTTTTATTTAAATATAACTATAAAAATAAGTAACTTCTTTATATCAAATACCCCGTATAAATTAAAAAAACATAAAAATTTATAAGGTGGAGAGAATATCTTGTTTATTATAGAAAGGGTTTATTATATATTAAGAGAAATCTTTATTAATTTTAAGTTCAATAGTTGATATATTTTTAAACATTTATAATATTTATTTTGTATTAAATACATTTCTAATTATAAGTAGATCAAATTGTTATCAATAAATGCTAAAAATTATCATCTTCTTTCAGTTTTTTACTTTATATTTACTTTTCTATAGAAATGATATTCTTTCCTTTTTATCCTATTGACTAACTGTTTAAATAAATGCTTGAAATTCTAATTGACATGATTACAACATTTTATTTTTTAAAAAATATTCATATGCCTAAAAGTTTGTTCAAAAATTTTATAATTTATTAAGTCCGAGTCGAGTATTAAAAAATGTTCATGTATACTTGTGATAAAATAAATTTTTATTAAAATTTACAAATTCTATTACTTCTAAATTTGGGTTCAAGAATTCAAAAAAATTAATTATCATTTGTTTTTAAAAACAGAGTAAAAAAGATGAAATAATTGAAGAAGGAAGGAGATGAAATACTCAAAAAGAAAATAAATGCTTAAAGATTGTCACATGTCATCCTCTAAATATTAACACATGTCACTCTCTCAAGAGTGACACATGTCATTTTCTTGGAGACAAAACTCTCAAATCCATACTTTATTTAAAAAGTTATGGATTCTCAATTTGGTTTTCCTGCCCATTTGGTGTTTCAATAAAAATGGTAATTGTTCACTTAAAATGGTAATGACTCAATTAAAATGGTAAGTAATTTAAAGTAATAATAATTCTTTTGCACGGGTCATTAATGTTATACGGTTTTGACTTATTTCCATTTATGGAAAACTTTTCAAACGTGATTAATTTAAATTGGAAATGATTTAAAAGGTGAGTAATTTAAATTGGTAATTAATTATTAATCTACTTACCTTTATTATAAACTTACTTTTATTACTTTTATTAATCCCGCTCATTTGGTATTGCAAAAAAAATGGTAATGAGTCAATTAAAATAAATAATTAAATTAAATAATAACGTTAAAATGGCCAACCTAATTCTGGGAAACAATTACAATGGTAAGTAATTTAAAGTAATAATAATTCTTTTGCACGGGTCATTAATGTTACATGGTTTTGACTCATTCCCATTTATGGAAAACTTTCCAAATGTGATTAATTTAAATTAGAAATGATTAAAAAGGTGAGTAATTTAAATTGGAAATTAATTATTACCAACTAATAATAAAGGAACACTGAAATTAATAAATTCATATAGTATAAATATGTTACCTTACCGGGCGACATAAGTACGATAATCAACGAGTGTTTAAATTAAACGAGTGTTTTAATTGATTGGTGCTCCACCATCGTTTTTTGTACGAACATGGGGATGATTATCGCCTTAAAAATGTTGATGAAAGTTCAAGTTATTGATGATGAAGCTAAGAGCGGTTAGAGTTTACAACGTTCCTGCTCATTCTCGAGGGCCAGAATAATTGGATATTGTTTTCCACGACTCAGAGATTAGTTCTACATTATTTTATAGTTTACATATAATAAATCTTTAAACAAAAAATATAAATTTAATTATAGATTAATGTTTTATATTTGTTGTTAGGGCAATCGGATCCATGCTCAGATCAAAGATACTAATATACGCACATTCAAAGAAGATTTGCAAGAAAATGTTGTTTACTTAATCATGAGGGTCAAGGTTATACGCAATTACCAAGGCACAAAAACTACCAATAACCCTTGCATGCTGCAATTTTTTGGAAGGACCAAGATTCAAAAACTATCGAAAAATGGATTTCGTAATTTTCGATTCAACTTTAAGAGTTTTGAAGATGTACTCAAAACAAAGGTTGCTGACCAAGTCTTTTTAGTTGGTAAGAGTCATTTACATTTACATAACTTAAATACTTACACATATGAAATACATTTCATATATTATGAAATGTATTTTTCTGAATTTTCAGATATAATCGGGAAAGTAGTTAGTCGAACCGCGCCCGAAACCCGTATGGTTAATAATGCCCCAGAGCAAGTGATGGAAGTTACCTTGGAGGACCACATGTATGTGACTATTTAAAAATCAAATTCATTTTAATAAAAAAATATTATGACCGGATATATATTACAGAGTAATTACTAAATACTACGCTATGTATTTTAATGACAGAAAGAGTGTTAAATTTTATTGAGAGAAATTTGACTTTTGTGGTGTTTAATGATAAAAATAGTGTTATACTGCATATATTATATACCTAATTAAATACCAGAGTAAACAATTTTAAATTTATAAGTTATACATATTTTGATCATCAAAATTAATTTTTTTTATTAAAAATTTAAAATACTTCAGTCCTTTTTTAGCCAAATGGAGATTGGGAAAGCTTATGGGGGGTATATAATTTTTTTGGTGGGCACTAGTGTTTTTTAGAATTAGATGTAGTAAAAAAATAATTAGTTTTAATAACAATAATAAGGCCCCGTTGCGTTCAACTTATTTTTTTTATTTTTTCTTATTTTTATTAAAATCAGATCAGACCAGACCAGATCAGATTAGATCCAATAAGATCAGATTAGATCAGATCAGATTCAATCCGATCAGACCAGATCAGATCCCATCAAGAATTATTATTATTATTATTATTATTATTATTATTATTATTATTATTATTATTATTATTCTTCTTAAAAATGAAAAAGAATAAACTTTAGAAACAAGTTAAATAGAAAACTAAGAAAGTAATCCTTAATTATTAGACCTCGGAAAAATTATTTGTAAAATACATTGACAATGTCAATCAAATTCTACTTTTAAAATATATTTTTATTGCTACCTGTAATTTGAGTTTCCAAAGT